ATATGAGTTGGTCGAATACTCTGAGGCCAAACTCGGTGAAGTGGAGGTGGACACAGCCATGACCTTGTTGTTGGGGTGTGTGGCCATTGACTCTGGCTTGCCCCAGTGCTGAGAAGGAGGAGGCATGTCCGGGCTGGGGCCTGATAGACCCTGAGTGAATCCAGTGGTCACAGAGCCCAGTGCTGCAGTTGATGCTGCCAAGGGCCTTACCTCAGTGTTTAATCCTATGATGAGGCACAGGCCAGGGTTGAGGCTCCACCAGTGCCATGCTAGGTGTCGGGGTGGCATGTGTAGCTATCGAACAGGAGTGGTGTTTCTTCTCCAGTTCCAGTAGCAGGGCTCTGGGTGCCCTGGCTGCCATTTGGTGTCAAACGAGGTCCTGATCTTTATCTGAGGCCGGAGCCAAAGTAGGGGGAGAGGATAATTAAGCCTAATCCCTGGCTACTTCAAAGGCTTCCAGACTAGATGGCTCCAGGAAGATGCCATTGGGCTGGCATCCCTGTGAGGACTAGGACACTTGCCCGACCGAGGTAGTCCAGGTTCAGTGCCTGATGGTTCCACGTGCCCCACTTCAGGGCACACACCGTTGGGGTGACCTGTGCTTGCTAGACCTCCTCTTCTTCCGAGGCAGCTGAGACTGTGACTGGTGCCAAGGTCTCCGCAGTATCGGGGATGCGTGGGAATGGCCAGATGCCTCCCACACCGAGGCCGGTGCGCTCTGACTCACTAGTGCTGGGTTGGACACCATTGCCAGCCATAAAGCCGCCTCCCCAGGATAATCTTCAAGCGCGACTCTCTCTCTCACTTATTGTGCGGCTTGAACTCCTTGCAGTTTTCACAGGTCCCAGACACATGGGCCTCCACCAAGCACTTAAGGCAGGCAGAGTGCGGGTCATCATAGAGTATAGGCCTCTAGAACTTCTCACAGGGCTTGAAGCCTTGAGTGCCGGGCATGCGGAGCAAGAACTTTGGTGGGTCCTAATTGTAGGATAACACCAGTTAATATCTACTTAAGAACAGATAAGAAACATAACTTGGAAAACTAGAACAAAAAACTAACTGAGTAACTGCTAACGGGAGGTTGCTGAGCAAGAGCAGAAACACATTCCGTCACAAGCAGGAAGAAGGAACCGAGGGGGTGAACAGCTAGCAGGGGTATATATTGGCAGATATAGCAAAGCCACTCCAGAGGACTCCCCTGCTGGCCCAACGGGTTCAGCTAAGAGAAGGATTTCCGATGATGCCTGCATGTTGCATGCACACACCTGCATGGACTGGACGTGAGCAATCACTCAAGGAAGAAAAAATTATAATTTCAAATGTTCTGGAAAATGCACAGAAAAAGCCTGAGGTGGTAAAGGATGAAATTCAAGAAGAACAAGCTCAAATAACTGTACTGAGGTGGGAGTACAGATCCACACAGAGAAGGCATGTCTACACTACCGAAAAGATCAACCTTCCAGAGTTCAAACATTTAGCGTTAGAATTAGCAGGTCTAGAGTAGACCTCCAAATTGAATGCTGTGGGCAGCTCTCACCGGTATCCTGTACTCCTCGGTCTGTGAGGAGTAAGGGAAGTCAATGGGAGCATTTGCTCTCTTCGGTCTCCCATAGTATAGAAACTGCAACGGCTTGGCTTAAGCTAAGCTGACTCCAGTTACACATTTTAAAGCAACCTACCTGGACTTGTGTAGACCAAGCTAGAAGGAGGAGTCCTGCAGTTAGGGATCTATATGTCATAGGAGACCAAGCTGAATATTAATCAACAGCATGATCTTACGTCAAGAAAAGCAAAAATCATTCTAGACGGCAGTGTTCTAAGTAAGAGAGAAGAAGTCATTCTGCTCTAGTCTCTGGTGATTAGGCTTCATTTGGAGCATTGTGATCATTTCTGGGCAACACATTTAAGGAAGGAAGTGCAAATATTGGAGAAGGTCCAGAGAAGGCCAACAAAAATTATAAAATGTGTAGAAAATATGACACATGAGGGAAGTTTCAAAGAACTTTGTTTGTTTAGTTTGTTTAGTTTGGAGAAGAGGAAACTGAAAGAGGATTTTGTGACAGCTTTTCAGTACATAAAATGTGAAAAAGAAGGAGAAAAATTATTATCCCTTAGCTTGGATGATATTACAAGATACGGTTGGCTTAAATTGCAACAAGGGAGGTTTAGGTTGGGTCTTTGGTAACATTTAAGTTTGGGTTAGGGATGGTGTCTGTGGTGCTTCCATGAGTGCAAGAGACTAGATTAATGGATGACGTCTCGAGATCCCTTCCGCTTCTATGATTGTGTGTCTAGCTCATTCTCACTTCATTTGATGGCCAAAATCCTTTCAAACTAACCCATTTGCACGACTCTAATTTGCTTTTGTTTCCTTGATCTACAAAGTTTTGAGAAGGATGGATGCAGAACTAGGTCTGAACCCTAAAATTATATTATTATATTTTAAACCTTTCCCCGTTTGCTCATCATACCCATGGTACCTCTGGAGGTGCTGCCTGAGGGAGCCAATGGTGTGGTGTGCTGTATCTGTTGCAGCCTGTCTCAGAATCAGACTGTCCCACATCATACCCACTGTACAATGTTGCCAGATACTTGTACATGATATTTGGCTTCTGTTCTCATCAATGCTCCTCCCCAGCTGAGAAATTTTTCGCTAGCTGAGGGGAACTACTCAATAATTATAGAGTAGAATCTTATATTTTACATATAATATAGCAACACTCATTTTATAAGAACAATGATGATCAGCGGATTA